CTCTCTCTCTCTCTCTCTGAATAATTTGTTGATTTTCACTTAATAAAAACTTTTAGGGTTAAACTAACTTTGAAATTTATCGATATATACTCTTTCTCAGATGTGTTCTAAGTAAATTTGACAACTTAAGCATCACCTGTTTCATATTTTGTTTTGAATCTGAACTTGCTTTAACTATTCATTCCCACGTTCTCCTTATCAATTTAATCCTGATTTTCTGCTGGTTAAACTCGAAGTTGAAGATTGTGTTAATGAAAGTTGCCTATTGCCGATTGTGGTCCATTGACGGAGGGGTCCATTTTCATGTTAAACCACTTTGTCAAATTATAGTTACCTGATGAGGTTCATATTTTGATTGCATTATAGTCATTAATTGATGAAAATAATGGGCAGAAGGACTGCAATGTAATGTCCAAAATATAAAGTTTTATTCAGAAAGAGCTGAGAAATCATTTTTGTTTACGTTTGAAAGAGTAAGATGTGCATTATACTTAGCAGGAAAAGATCCATATACAAATAAAAAGGCTGATTGGTTTTTGAAGAATATTTCCCTAAAGGTTTATATCTCTTGGAAGATTGATTATTGGGCTTAAACTGCTATTTTTTATATCAGATTCTTTGCCTTGTACCCAGATTACACACCAGTATTTCTTTGCCTCAAACTCTCCCCTGCTACCCCAGAAAAGAATTTATATGCTGATAACCGATTCGAAAATCACCTTTGCACATCTTTCCCTTTCTCCATGAACTTCGAGTGGGGCCATTTTTTTTTCTCAATTTTCTTTTGCAACCTTGACTCTTAAATTTTGCATTTATTTTTGTGTTTTCTCCTTTTTTTGGGGGATGTGTGGGGGAGGGGGTGTTTGTTTGTTCTTTCTTTTTTTTGAAACAATTAATGATTCAAAGATTCATCCCTGGATTCTTGTCCTTGTACGTGTATATGTCTTCACCTCTCTATATCACATACTGCAGGGAGACTATGTCCTATGTCGCATGTTTCACAAGCCAGATGAGAAGCCAGACAGTTCCAAATATGATGAAGTTGAACCAACCGGATCGTCTCCTTCCATAAACAAATCCTCTCCTGATGAGACATCAAAAGATCTTTTTCAAGAACCTCCAGTGCTAGATATGCCAATATGCAAGGTGCCAGGGGACGTAAAGGAGTGTTTGACCTATGAGTCGGAAAACACGACTCCTGACATTCTTGCACCGGTTAAAGGGTATGGATCTGGAGTATTTCACTCAGCAGAAGAAACAACTCCTGAGGTGAGAGATTTACTATTTCATCTTTGCTGACACCTATCTAGTCTTGTCCAATTTATTGTTGAAGAAAGTTAAAGTCCAGAGCTGTTGTCTCCTGTTTTATTACTTCAGGTATATGGGTCAGTAAGAGCAAATTTAATGTGCCATGATTCTAGGCACAATCAGATTGATGATAAGGTTGGGTCAACATTGCAATCACATAATGACACTGATATGGGAGCTTGCATAGGTTCACCATTTGCTGATGACTTTGGCAATGATCACAACGGACTGCATTTTCAAGATGGCTCATCTGAACAGGATGTGTCCCTGTCCGATCTGTTGGAAGTCCTTCAGAAACGTGAAACTTACTCTTATGAAGAGCAAACTAGTCGCGAGAACTCGGTCGTGGCAAGTGAATGCTTTGTGCCAGAATACATTGACGGGCTGAGTGAAAGGCCATCTGCAAGCAGTAATGTGATCGACTATAAACACTACATTGGGACAGATACTGAAATGGTTCAAGAAGAGGTAGAAAGCATATGATCTAATATCTTTCAGAAACTGCATTTGAACAGTAATCTAAAAAGCATCATCTGTGTTTTAGCTTGAGCATCTCTCAAGTAAAGTTTTGTGACTTTTGTCTGGAAATGCTATTTAAGATCCGATGGTCATGGTTATTTGTTTAAAATACAATTAATCATCTAGTATTTAGTTGCATCTTTGCCTTTCAAAACCATGGTTGTTCCAGAATGTGTATTTTTCATATTAATGTTATGGACTTCCTGCAGGTATTCTTCAAGGCTGTTTCAACCGATAGTTCTCTTTCAAATTATTCTGTTGGTGGAACTGGGATCCAGATTCGATCTCGTCAGCCTCGAAATCGACAAAATTCAGAAACAGCTCAGGGAACTGCCTCCAGGAGAATTCATCTGTTGATCGAACGTGGACCACAGTCTATATGTACTGACAAGTCTGTAGATGTCAGCAGCACGGAAGATCAAGAATCAGCAGTTTTGGAGGTGAGGTCCATTTACAGATATGGCAGAGTATGGACTAGTTCATCTATTTGTGGTACACAAGCTAGACACACGACAATTCACTCGAGCATGATAAGTCATGTAGATATACAGGCGCCATGCTTCTTAGACAAATTACCATTCGCTAAGAGGCCATTGAATTCATAAGTTTGATTTAGAAAATGACCTTTTCTTTTTTCTTTTCTTTTTTTTTTTTTTTT